GCCTTGCCCACATCGTTGTCAAAATCATCTATATCACTGCTGATATAGAACTGCTCGCCTGAGGCATCTTGAATATGGACATACTCAGGAATTATGCCACGCTCGAGAAACCCTGCGTAGGAGTCGATTGCCGCAGTTGCAGCGATTATGCAGTAAGCCGCTGAAAAGACGCTCTCCATTCGGCTAGATTCGCGTTTCCAGTCCTTGCCCTCGTCCCCGTATTGGATGATGCAGAGCGAGTCGATCCAGAGATATAGAACGCCAAGTTCTCGGGTCACCTTGACGGCGTCTTGGAAAGTTTTTGGTACTTCGAAGAGACTGAATCCTTTCAACCGTTTACCAATATTATCCTGGGTTGTACAGTACGCTCTCTTCGCTTCGACTGAGAGGCCGCCCCAGCAGTGAGATAATGCGATGTATTCTTGTGTTCTTATTTCGGAGGTACGGACCAGACGCACAAAATTTGAATCGTAACCTGGATCCTTGAGATCGCCAACGTAGAGGACTCTCGTCGGCAATGCTGACTCGGATTCGACTTGGTGCTTGTTACAATTGTGGGACTCGTCACACTGACGAAGCCTTGCGCGGAGCAGCGCAAATCGTGCAGGGTTGTTGGGCCCAGTTAGGATTGGGAGGCCAATTGGGATTTTAGAATGCGGAGGAACAACGTATTCTGTGCCTGAGAATAAGTTTTGATCCCGTTTTGAGTACAAGGATATTGTAGACACTGACCCGGATCCGAACAAAACCGCAGAAAACGCGGGCCTTCTGCTCCTACAGTTAGTGCCGAGTCTCTTCGCCCTATCTCGATATTCCCGTCATCATGATGGCGGAAGCGCTGAAATGCTCGGAGAATTATTGTGCAGATCGAACAGCTTTCGGCAGAGGTACGTATATCAGAAAGCCTAGTGCTGTAGGTAGCAGTTGGGTGAGCTTTAGCCACAATCGCGCTGCAGCAGGAACAAAGGTGAACCGTAGAAGGTAGCGGACGAAATGGTAGACCTGAGAGAAAGGTGCGTGCAAAGACGTTATCGAATGTGAGATACCAATCGTTGTACTACTCCCAATTGCATGTCAGTCTATTGACTATACGAAGGAGCAATCCCGAGACTTTACATACCGGCTATAACACCAGACACACCATTGTTAGTAGCAGCCTCGCATCTTAGTGTTCGCAGCTTAACTTACAAACTACACCACCAGACACACTATCATTAGCAGTAGCCTCACATCTTAGTGTTCGCAGCTCAACTTACGTCCTACACCACCAGACACACCGTCATTAGTAGCAGCCTCGCAACTTAGTGTTCGCAGCTCAACTTACCTCCTACACCACCAGACACACCATCATTAGTAGCAGCCTCGCATCTTAGTGTTCGCAGCTCAACTTACACCCTACACCATCAGACACACTACCATTAGCAGTAGCCTCGCATCTCAGCGTTCGCAGCTCAACTTACGTCCTACACCACCAGACACACCGTCATTACCACGAATATCGCATGTAAATATGCGCAAGTTGACTTACTTCCTATAATTACATCTCAGTATAATCCCCAACTTCCTGGAGTAAATACGCACCTTCTAATTATCTTGTTAGCTCGGATTGGACAATTTTAGCGAGAATTGCTAGGATACCGTAAACGACCACTTCTTTTCCATGTCTCTACTCACTATAACTAGCAGGAGCGTAGCCGCAAAACCGATTCGTCAAAGAAGTTCTAGTAGGTGTCAATTTTGTAGTGATGGGATGCCTCTGAGTGCAGTTGGAGAAATGCGGGGTAGGGTATCTACTGCTGCCTAAATGTGTCGGTGTCATAATTGTTCCGATTGTTTCTGGCTTCTTCGTGCAGCAGACGAATCAAGTTAAGCGCCAATGCAAAGCACATCGCTGCCTAGCAGTTGTTTTGACGTAGTATAATTAGCGGTATTTACAAGCAGAGATTGACGCATAAGATACTTCAGCTCGCCACCGCAAGCAGGGAGGACGGCTGACCCACACCGGCACTAACCTTGCCATGAACGTCCGCACTGGATGGTGTTGCGAAGAAATATAAGGGTCATTTTTGATGACAGGACGGCATGTAGCCTTAGAGAGCGTAGTACCATAGTAAGCACAGCTTCGTCAGATCTCTGCTCTACCCTTACCAGTGCTTATAGGCATCGATGATCCAAGCTCCTCATCACCCTCAGTGGTCAAGCTAAAGCACCTTTCTAACTTACAGCCCTAATGATTGCAGTGCTCATGCAACGAGCCATTTGTTGTATAACTGTACGACAGCTGTACCCCCAAGATATGCGGATCCTTCCACCTTTGTACTTGCTTGCACAACGGTGTTCTTCTAGTAACACTCACTACATTTGCTAAAGCCTAGACTCAGGTCTTTATATTCTGTATCATGCGTACATGTATCGGTTGCGATGTGCTCGGGAAGTACGAGGATGTGGTGGGTTGGACGAGGGATCAGCGGCGGGTCTGCGGAGCTAGAGGGCGGTGCGACAGTTTATCTCTATAGTGTAGGAACTTTCGCGTTAGCTATAGTTATCTATTGCACCATGTCTCGAAGTAGCATAATAGCTGCATCGGAAGGTAGTTGCGGTTTTGATGCTGGGCGTGTTCGTTTTCGTGAGCCAAACGCTGGCGGCCTTCAAACCCAGCCTGCTCCTACAGTCCGTGCGCAGTCAACGAGCCAGTTCAGTCAACGAGCCACCCCACCAATATGGGACGATCAAAAAGATGAGGTTATTGAGCCACACACAATAGCTATTATCGTGAGATTTTTTGGTGTATTGATATATAGACCCTTCTAGAGCGTTTGCACTACTTGTATCTCGCTGGCGTCTTAAGTTGGCGGTTGCGTAGGCCAAATTTGGGTGGGGGAGACGCCTCAGGTGGACCAGCGTCAACCCGACTTGATGCAGCAGCAACACGACGACGCTTTGTCAGTTTTTTTGCTGCTTTGTGTGAGGCTTTTCGCTTACGCTTGTTTGCTGTATCGTGAATTTTTTGAGCGGTTGCAGCTTGTTGTTGTTGCTTTTTGAGCGCCCGTTCTGCAGCCTTTTCCTCAGCGCGCTGTTTCTGCTCGCGATCACGCTCTATTTTGGCTTGTTGTCGAGCCACCTTTGCGGCTGCTTGATCCTGCTTTTTCTGAGCTGCTTCTGCCGCTTTTGCCTCTCTATCGCGAGTTTTTTGGAGTTGTAGCTCCGCGGCTTCGTCCAGTTCTGCGGCCTTGCGCGCGCGGACGCTGGCAAGCTTCCTGGGACTGTAGAATACAGCTCCGCCGTGCCAGTCGTCACCTTCTTGTGTAGTCAGTGTTGTAGACTTAATTGGGCGCTTCTTGATGAGGTTGAGCTCAGCGCGTAGCTCCGCGTTTTGGAGGCGTAGAAGCTCGTTGTTGACCTGCAGCGAGTGCAGGCCTTAGGACAGCCGTTTGGCTTCAAATTTAGCCTTGTCAACCACCGCAGCGTCAAAAATTTTGCGCAGCTAAGGCCAGGTATCACCGTCGCCTTGCTCTCCAATTCCTAGCTCGTCATCTTGTTGTTGTGGGTCGTTGTTGAAGCGTTGAAGCACTAGGTCTGCGTCCATCGGCCATACGCCTGTAGCTTGAAAACTCTTCAATATGAGATCGTGAGTCATTGTAGAGCTCCAAGCCAGCCAAAAGTTGCTGTAGAAGTCGCGTTTAGTGATCCTTGAGAGGCCTTGGGTTCGCTAGAGGCGTTAGGTAAGCTCCTCAGTGTAGTGCTTCGAAAGCAGCGAAAAGAGCACGACATCCAACGGCTGCAAACTATGGGTTGAATGGGGTGGATACACCATAACCATGATGCGTTTGGCTTCACAATACTCCAAAAAAATCGGGCGTAAGGTGGCTGGCGTGGCCGTCAAGGATGAGAAGGCGCCATTGCCGGCGAGCTTTAGCTGCTGTATAGCGTTCGAAGACCTGTTGAAGCCAGGCAAGTCCCAAAGCGTTATTTGACCATCCCGAAGCCGAGTGGGATACGAAAACTTGGTGTTGTTCGGCCAACAGGTCGTCAACCCAACTTGATTGAACCCCAGAGGTGCCCTGGTAGATAAGAGCGGGCGGCAATGCCTCTCCAGAAGCGCATACGCAAGCCAGCAGCGTTACCCATTCTCTATTGCCATCTCTCATCGCCGCTGTACGCTCCCTTGACTCATAAACTGCCTTAGAGAAGATCCTTTTAGTGCGTTCGGCGATGCCGACGAAGAAGCCTTTCTCATCCATATTGTACGTGTTGCGCTCTTCAATCCCATGTTCTTGCATCTTAGAGTGCAGCAAGTTGAAGTACAACTCGTATTTACGCTTGTTGTCAGCCAGGTGACGCTCACGATCCATACCGGTGTCCCATTTGGTGATGAGCTTGTCAGGATAACGGTGTTGAAACCGGGTAACCCAGCTCTCGGAGACCTCATGCTGCGCAACCGCGCTGCCAAAATTTCTTAAAACACTTCGTGTAGGTGGTACACCGTCTCTTGTAGTCCCGTCTATGTATCCAATAAGCTCATCCTCTTGTTGTGGGTTGAGGTTTCGTCGATCTTCGGCCACCTGTGTGTCCCTGGGTCGCTGTGCGCCCCGGTGCCTCCGCGACAGCGTCGTTCGATCAACTCCGAATATTTTTGCAACTTGGCGGTACGAGAATTTATCGCCAGCCTCACGCGATTCGATATATTTAATCGCTTCTTGAATCGGGTCCATGGTTGTGGAGTTATGACGCGTTGAAGTTGGGTGGGCTCATGAGGCAGCGGGGGTTGGGGTGGCTCGTTGACTGAACTGGCTCGTTGACTGCGCACGGACTGTACGCGCACCTACGTGAACATCACGGATGTGCAGCTTGAAATCAGTTTCCAACCTACATGGTCGAATCTGAGAGCATATCAGGGGTATTTCCATTGTAACGACGAGCTGCTGAATAGGATATGGTATGCAGGCGCCTACACGCTCCAGACCAACGCCGTACCATCCAACACCGGCCGTTGGGTTCCCATGCTCGCCAACGGCTGGGCCAACAATGGTACTTTGGGACCAGGAGAGACCATCATCGTCGATGGCGCAAAGCGCGATCGCGCCGTCTGGCCAGGCGACATGGGCATTGCCGTCCCTTCAACTTTTGTCAGCACTGGAGATCTCGAGAGCGTGAAGAATGCATTGCAAGTCATGTTTGACTACCAGAATCCAGATGGCTCGTTTCCGGAAGCTGGACCGCCGTTATTGCAGCAGAATAGCGATACGTACCATATGTGGACGATGATCGGGACGTACAACTACATGCTCTACACGAACGATGCAGCCTTTGTGCAGAAGAATTGGGCGAGGTACAAGAGAGCTATGGAGTATGTGTATGCTAAAGTCGAGGTGGATGGATCTGGGTTGTTCAATCAGACGGGCACGAGGGACTGGGCGCGCTGGCAGACTGGCTTCAACAACACCGAAGCGAACGTCATTTTGTATCATACACTGCAGACCGGTGCGAAGCTCGCAACATGGCTGAACGACACCGCGATGACCAACGGCACTAGTCTACCGGAACCGTGGACATCCCGCGCCACGTGTCTTCAATCAGCAATCCTAACCCACACCTTCGACAGCGCCTACGGCGCATTCCGCGACAACGCCACACTCACCACTCTCCACCCCCAAGACGCAAACAGCATGGCCCTCCTCTTCTCCCTCGTCTCTCCTTCCTCCGCCCAGGCCCAGTCCATCTCCACCGCGTTGACGAAAAACTGGACGCCCATCGGCGCCGAAACACCAGAACTCCCCGGCAACATATCCCCATTCATCTCCTCCTTTGAAATCCAGAGCCATTTCACCGTCGGTCAGACAGATCGTGCGCTGGAATTGATTCGCAGGAGTTGGGGCTGGTATGCTAATCACCCCAACGGCACGGGTGGAAGCACGGTGATAGAGGGGTATAGGACGAATGGGACGTTTGGGTATAGACAGGAGAGGGGGTACGGATATGATCCGAGCTATGTGTCGCATGCGCATGGCTGGAGTTCGGGGCCTACGAGTGCGTTGACGGAGTTTGTGGTGGGACTGAGGATTACGGAGCCCGCGGGGAGAGAGTGGGTTGTTGAGCCGCGGTTTGGCGATTTGAGGGAAGCGGAAGTGGGGTTTATGACGGGGTTGGGGAAGTTTAGGGTGGGCTGGGTGATGAATAAGAATGGGGAGGGGTATATGGTGGGGATTGAGACGCCGGTGGGGACGAAGGGGTCCGTGAGGTTGCCGGTTGAGGGAATTTATATGGAGGTGGTTTTGACGGTGAATGGTGAGAAGATAGGAAAGGAGGGGTATACTCAAGTTGATGGACAGTTGGTTTGGGACGTTGATGGTGGGACGTATGATATACAGGTTAGCACATGGTTCGATACAGAATGAGGTAGCTTACCATCAAGTACAATCTACGTTATACATACAATGAGCCGTACAGCGGTTCTGCCATAACACTTCCAGTCAAACGATTGAGAAAAACAGAGGCAAAGACTATACACAACCCAGCATGAGAGCACGATACTGGTGTCAAATCCTGCGTCAACACAGCGGCCGTATGAGTCTGACCCATCGACTGTTAATGATAGAAGGCGCCAGTCGTTCGAGTGATTTGGGTGCGCAGCGACATTGCCATCGGTGTACAGGAAGTCTTTTATTTTCAGATTACGACCCGATGAAAGTTGGTATGTCTCTGAAAAGCGCGCCTGAATCTGAGAAACCTGGGTATTAATGAACTGGTAGTGCCTCGGAAGTTCGAAGCGTAAAGGTTGGGGGCGGAGCCTTTTCATTGGATGTCCTCGATAGAACCCAGCCTTGACAGCGCAAGAGGCATTTTCAGCTGAATGCGACTTTCACTGCTTTTACTCTACGAACAAGACTTCTACGACAACCCCCTTCGCCGCGCACACATGCTGTTACGAAAAGCTGCCATGTCTCAAACAACCTTTAAGCATATTCCGTTGACGCGTCCAGCCGAACAAATACGACTTCTGAAACTTCAGCCTGACACAGACGTCATTCGGCTCAACATACAAACTTATGAGCTTACGGAGTGCCCAAGATTCGTGGCACTCTCGTATGAGTGGGGTGATAGCTTAGAGGTACATGATATCATCATAGACGGCGCGGTGTTTACGATACGGCAGAACCTACGCGACGCCTTGGAACATATACGAACCCTCCAGGCGGATACATCGAGCACGAGGCTATTCGACGAAGACTCGCCTTGTTTCTGGATCGACGCCATCGCAATCGATCAGGCGAATGGCAAGGAAAAGCATCATCAGGTTTCCATAATGGGAAAGATATACCGTCAAGCATCCCATGTCATAGCCTGGCTTGGCCTTGAACGGAGTGGCGATAATACAGCCCTGGCTATGGAATACCTGAACAAATCTTTTGGGGAAAGGCAATATAGTCGTTTCTGGCAAGAGCTTCAACCAATAGTCCCATTCTTAGCAGAAGAATTGGCGATGAGAAGATTGTGTGACCGACCGTACTTCCAGCGTATCTGGATTGTCCAGGAGTGTGTCCTTGCCAAAAAGCTCCACTTAGTTTGCGGGCCACATTACTGTTCTTGGAAAAAATTACACAACTTTAATAGAACCTTGGACGGTCAACATATGAGTAAGCTAATTCTCTCACTCTTCCGTGTCAAGCTAGAGTTCGAAAGATCTTGGGACGGCGACTCAATTTATGAGGCCATGGGGAGCATTCTTCAAGTCGCAGATGGCAGACATTGCTCAAAATTCCACGACCGACAGAGATGCCAACAATCAAGTCAATCAATCAATTTGCTTGATCACGGACCCACATATGGTGCGTGCACTGTGTCACGGACTACAAGATGGTCTGGGATCAAGCAAATTGATTGATTGACTTGATTGTTGGCATCTCTGACGACCGAATATACGGACTGATTGGAATACTCCAACAAAGTTTCCAGACGACTGGTATGGAGGTGAATTATGAAGCTAGCCTCGAAGAACTGATGATCAAGACTTACGATTTTCACGACTCTGGTTCTGAGGAGATTCATTACTCTGATATTACTTCCTGGATTCTAAGAATTTTCGACACAGTCGCGTCAGTAGATGTACAGGGAAAAGTCGTGTGGTACTGGCACATGAACGAGATCATGCACAAGCTGGACGCGGACGTAATCAAAGGATTCGATTCGCTCGAGACTCTCCACGGCAAGAAAGAGCGGGCATTGACCTTCCAGACAATTTGTTGGATCGTTGGCGGATATGGAGTTGATCTTTTCTCGCCTGTCGAAGGAAGCACTCCTCTGGATACCACGACGACGATGTAGACTATTTCCCTCGTGTCTCGACAGAACGAGTGGTCAAGGCAGTCCAGCCATCGAGTTTTCATTATGCATTCGCGGTGTACTATAGGGATCTATACGTATTGTATCTGCTTGACGAACTGGCCCCGCGAGCCATTTGGTATGCCAGACGACTATATGATGACAGAGTCGAATTCATGGGAATGCAGAAGTTTGCTTGAGACATACAGCAAGCACGTCCGATTCCTGGGTGTATTGCGGGAAAACTTCGAGACTTCTACCGAAGTGTTTGATTTGGAAAAACCATCGCCACTTCCAATCCAGATTCATTGGATGGCGTTCTCTAGTCTTCTGGCGCAATATTTTCTCAGCAAATACTCTTCCAGGGACTTCTGGCCTGACCGCAAGACCAGTATTGCCGGCTTTGTAAGGCAGATTGAGCGAAAAGGGAAAGCTTGTCGTATTATCATCCTACTCCGAGCACTGCGCTTGAGCTCGAGAGGTTGTCGTGCTTCTGTGCTGGTTCCAAGTCCGCCTGCTAGAAGTGCCAGATAAGGAAGCCCCGCATATCTAGCTTAAAGCAGCCTAGCTGTAACCTATCGCTGCTGACGCTAGATCTGTGGATGTGTGGCTGTGCAACATCTTTGCCAAGGGCTCTAAGTCCGGCTTAGATTGGAAGCAGGGCTGGCTAGATTAGAAGGCCCCGGCGTTTAGCACACCCAGTATCGAAACCGCAATCAGCTTCCCATACAGCTATCGTACAGCTTCATGATGCAGTGCAATGCACGACCATAGCTAACGCAAAAACTTGCATGCCATAGAGATAACGATCGCGCCGCTCTACAGCTCCGAAGACCCGCCGTTGATCCCTCGTCCGACCTACCACGCCCTCGTGCTCTCGAGCATATCGCAAGCAACAAATATACCTAACTGTAGCCGCATATCGCCTTTGCTCGTTGAAGAGAGTACAATGAGTTAAGAGGCGTCTAAGAATAGGGCGGGCAGGTCTCACCCAGCGGGCATGGCCAGGGACAGACGCTAACTGGCATGATCCAGAATACTAAGATCCGAGTCTAGGCTTTAGCAAGCGGAGTGGGTGTTACTGGAAGATCGCCGTCGGTTGACGCACACATAGAGGTGGAAAGGGTCCGCATATCTTAGGGATACAGCTGTTGTACGGTTATACAACGAACGGCTTCTCGCATAAGCACTGCAATCACTAGGGGCGTGGCAAGATGCTTTAGTTTGGTACCTGAGGGTAATGAGGAGTTTGGATCGTCGATGCCTATAAGCGCTGGTAAGGGTAGAGCAGAGATCTGATGGTAGCTTTGCTTGGTGAGGTGCTGCGCTCCATAAGGCTGCATGCCGTCCTGTCATCAACAACAGCCCTTATATCTCTTCGCAATGCTATCCAGTGTGGACGTTCATTCCAACCCTATAACCGCAGCGGGTTGGCCACTTTCCCTGCTACCGATAGCGACATCAAGAGCCAAATCACCTTCAATGTTGTTCGATTCTGCTTCTGAACGCGCTTACTTAACCACGTGATGCTGAACCCTGGTGGCTCAGTCACCCTGCCGCCGCTTGCCCCACCATCGTCCTCAACCCTCTTTTAAGGCTTTCTTCACAACACGTGCCTACTATTAAATTGGAATTTTTGCCCGCTTCACCCCCGCTTATGGTGCTTGCTAGGCGGTTGTTTTCATCACTACCTTGAATTTAGTAAAGCAGACAAGTGCTATTTCAGCAATGCCACTGCTTGATCTACCAAATGAGTTGCTCCGGGATATATCGGAATACCTAGAATCCGAGAGAGATATCAACGCCGTTGCACAGGCCAACCGCCCCCTTTACGGTCTTCTAAATAGCTACCTCTACCGCTACAATGTACAACAATCTGGAAGCTCAGCGCTGTTGTGGGCTGCCAGACATGACCAAGAGGCGACGGCGCAAAAGTCGCTGAGGGAAAAAGCCAATATACAGGCCACAAATGATGATGACGACGAGGCACCGCTGTTGTTGGCGGCAGAGAATGGGCATAAGCAGGTAGTAAAGCTGCTGGTTGACAAGGGCGCCGACGTCAACGCGCAGGGTGGACGCTACGGCAACGCACTCTACGCGGCTTCGTACAGAGGCCACGAGGCGGTGGTGAGGCAGCTACTCGACAAAGGCGCTGAGATCAACGCGCAGGGTGGATACTTCAGCAACGCACTCCAGGCGGCTTCAGATGGAGGCCACGAGGCGGTGTGGTATGGGGTGCCAAGTCATCATGAGGGAAATGGATGCATGGCTGGCTGATTGGTGTCCTTGAAAGAAGATAGTTACATTCTGATGCTTAGGTCTTGGCGGTAATAGTAGTCTATTAAACACAACGCTGACGGCAATGCTTATGACGCTGTAATGAAAGCAACGTGCGGCAAATTTGCCACCACAAGCTAAGTAGATGGCCAACCCGCATCTGCCACACCCTTGTAGCATGTTGCCACTGCAGTAGGTATTCGTGAGGTTATGTTGTTGCCAAACCATCATCTCAAAGTTTGAGATTGAGACTGTGATCCAATACAGATCATGTTGAGCTAAGCCTCGTAAGGCATCCCTGCGGCCCCGCCGCTCGAGCCACCCGCACGTTATTTCGCGCATGCACGCGATGTCTTGGCTTGACCTTGACCTGCGAAGCTCCGGGCGTATCAAGCCAATAGGCGACAGGTTTAATTCTGACCTGTCGCAGGGTCCAGTTTTGGCTCCGCAGTGGGCCTGATCCAGGTTCCTCTTGCTTCCGGGCCCTAATCTAGTCGCTGTCCGTCAAGCTCTGAAGCCTCAATGAAGCAGCTGACAATCAACTTAGGCTAGGCAATTGCTGGGCGACTGTCTTTTTTCCTAAGTACTGGTGGACCAGTGAGCTGGCTATTGTTGTTTCGCTGGTTAACCGAGCGACCACGTCAACAACAATGGGTAGCCTGTAGCTGAAAGCGCCGGAGATGGTGAAATAGCTTGGCTATGCGTTCTAGACCCTCCAAAACTGTGCGAGTTTGCTCAGTCCTGCAGTCTCGCTAAGAACACCCCATTGCGCCTGCCTCAGATCAGTCTCGTCCCCAAGAGCTAACCTATTATGGCATGGCCGTCCTCAAACACTCACTGACCCGAAACTCTCGGTGGCAATCACACACACGCACACTCCTGTATCAATTTTCAAAAAGTTCAACGCATATGACATTTGGGAGAGTCTAAATCTTGACGTTGAGTAGAAAAGGTCAGAAAAATGGGCAACTCCAGTCAGCGCATGACCACGTCAACACAAGCTGAAAGAGCCGGAAATGGTAAGTGTATCATACGCCACTTTTTCCAGTGGCTTCTAGCAACAATATCATTCGACATTCAATTTGATCGGTGATGTCATACGGATCGAGTGCGGAGAGTCCCGTACGAGCAGGCACCGCCCCAACATACAGCAGAGAATGAAAGTGGGCACACCTGCAGCAGCTGTCGAGGTTATTGGACTCCATTCGACCCGCTCTTATAAGTGGCTCGATGCTGAGCTTGGTTGTGCTTAGCTCATGTGTGCTCCAGCTCCCGCTGTGGACCCAAAGTCGGGCACGGGAACGGGATCTCCGTTTCAAGCACGGGCCACAAGGCCTCCGTTAAACCTTTATGGCCCATGCTTATCAATGGGGCTCTCAGGTCCGATACTTTTCCCAACTTTCATAACGTACTTTACCCAAAATCTCCCAGTCCCATTGGATTCAGCACAACTCGACAAGGTCAGGGCCGGTGCGGCTCGGCCGTCCTCCCGGCTAGTGGTGGCAAAATGCCACCTCCGCCGACGCACGCGTGCTGACTGATTTGGTTTGAGCGACAACGTCTCTAAATACTCTTCATGTACACTGTTTACTATAGTGTGAACAAATAGGCGGACAGCACTATTGTAATTGTCATGGAGCAGATGCGACACAGGAGTTAGAATAGAAGCTAGACTAGACGCAGCGGTGAGGGAACAGCTGACCATGCCTTTCGTGGGGTGAAGTAGGCAAACTGAGCACGAATCACCAATCAAGGGAATGTTTTCACAGGGAAGGGCCGAGCACTGCGCACATGTAGCTACCAAATCAGATTCTCAAGTCTCAAAGAGGAAGAGGATAGCATTGAGAATGCGACGTCATGTCGGGCCTGTTGTAGTAATGACAGGAACCCATTCCATCCGGCCTGAGCTAAAGCCTATTGCAAGAACCCCATTCAACGGGCAGAATATCGAAAATCTATATGCGTCAGCTATTCCCTTCCTGACTATATCGCCAGCTGACCGTACGCTCGAAAGCTCGCCAGTCTGATGAGGATATTTATAGGACGTCTGACTGTCCATTTGAGATTACGTGGCTGCAGTCCATCTTGTTGCAGCACTGGTCAGACCCGTTTCTCCAAATACAATTGTTCTCTTTTGCATGAATGTCGCAGGGAACCTCTAGAAGTTCAAGGGGTATGCATGATTGTTTATCATAGGTAGTAAAAGTAGCCGCTGGCCTGCAAGATATTGTAGTCAGCTTGGGAAACAGAAGATGAGAACTCAACTTACTTGTCGTTGGGGCATGCGAAAGCAACACCTTCTTCGATCCCACCAAGGCAGTACTTGCCGCATGGCCATTTGGTCAACGAAAATGTTCCCGCTTTGGAATATTCTGGTGTTTTCCCAATGTGTCCTCCATTTATCTCACGACTGAGCCATTGATTAGGGTCTTCCCCAGCTAATATCAGTTAGCTCCCGTCAGTTCTCGGCGATAAGCTCGAAGTCTCTTGGATAGGCTTACTCTTGGGTCTGCCATGCACATCCTTGATTCTGATACTGTCGCCAGGGTTGATTGGTGCACTAGATTTGCAGTCCTCGTCTTTACAAAGCTTGAATTTGCCCCACTGTTGCCCCATCTCTTCTGGTGCGGCAGCATAGTAAGCTCCGTTGTAACCCCAGCGGCGTCCGTTAAGAAAGGTAAAAGTGTAACATGTCCCTTTTCTTACTCTCAGCTTAACGAATTTTTTTATTTCCGAGACTGCTTACCAGCTTTAATTCCAGAAGTGCAGGGCGGCTCTTCCACAACCGGCTCTTCCGCAGGCGGCCCGCAAGGCTTGCACTTTATGCCATCCCATTCTTCACCTGTCGCACAGCATCCATAGCCAACTTCTTGAGAACCTGTGATATCATGATCGGCAGCGCAGCAATCGAATGCAGTTTCTTTCGAACCCCTGAGGGCTTGCCCCTGTGGACAACACTGAATTTGTAAGATAAGTTGGTTGGAATATATACCATGTCGATAAACAACATACCGTAGCGAACTTCCGATCACGGGTCAAGGCTAGACGATAACCTGCCTGCTTGCAGTTCCGTGTGTTTTGGAAAGGCGAGTTGTGTTCCTCTTTGTAACTCATCACGCCTTTTTCTTCGTCGATCTCGGTATTCTCGTCAATCTCTACGACATGGACATTTTGCATCCTAATCAGTGTTCCCACGGCTCGTGAGGCTTCGAGTGAAAGGACAAGAAGGCCAAGTAGTGGAGTCCTCATATTGAAATGTAGAAGATCGGCTACTTGACAATTACGAGTTCAGTTGGTCTAGAATACACAGCTATGTAGCTATATAGTGGCAGAGACTGATCAGGAACCCGTGATCTTTCACATCAATCATACCTATTTTGTTGATCACATTATTGCTAATACCAGCTCCTCGGAAAGCATTAGCTATGATGATTCAGTTGCGTAATCATAACTCATAAGATGCTAATAAGGTTTAACTCCGCGTCTCGTTGCTGGGTGGATGTAATGGGAACGAGAGTCCGGACCGTGAAGGTAAAGGATTACTGCACTTAGAAGGGTATTAGCGCCAAAATGGTTCCTCATTCGAAATTGTTGAGCTGCATACCATGTCACTGCTGGATGTCATGCCCAAATCCTATTTGCAGGCACTGCAAGCCGCCTAGAAACGGAAGTGGTAAGGCACATACGCAGCTTGCACTGCAGGAGTTCGGTTATGGAGCGTAGTTTACTCCGGACGCGCACTGCTGCAGCCCCTAAGAATGTGTTAGCAGTGTGTCCATCAACCAAGTAACTTACTTGGTTGATGGACACACTGTGTGTTAGACTTTGGTTTGGAGAGAGCGAATGCTTTGCTGGTCCGGTGGGTCTCGATTGGCTAGTAGCCAGATACAATCAAGGATACGCATCAAGATGATCTGTAGAAATGGATCTACCCTGACGTCAACATATGGGCTGCAAGCGGTACTATCCGAGATAGCTACATCTGTACAATGTTAGATCTGGGGCTCGCGTCCCCGCAATCAAATGGCCTCCCGAGCTCCCATAGCCCAAATGACCAGAAGAGGGAACCATAATAGTTTCAGCTCATGCAACCAGGAAAGCAGACGTTGAGTCTAATGCAACTGTTGGCAGCGATCTTCACATTTCAGCTGCTGCTTAGTAGCGCTACAGAATGTGATCCGAACATTGAGATTGCTTACAAAGGCCTCCACAGAACTCCTCTCCAATGGACAGTGCAATAGGAAAACCCTCTCCTAATAAAGGTGTGCAGTGTCAGTGTAAGCAATTACATATCCTAAGATATTCACCTCCTGAATATCAACACGTCTTTTTGCCTACAGTTATGAGCCCGGACTTTCCGTCTCGGAACCTTAAGCAACCTTGGCGTGGACACCAAACAAGGTGGGGCACCATAAGCGAAAAATCCATGCATTTGAGCGCACTATCAGTCTCGCCTTGGCAATTCAAAATAAGTCCAGGTTATGGCCGCCTACACATGCACAGGGCCCTGGCAATGTCAAGCTGAAAACTAGCTTTATCTTCTATGATTAGAAGCTAAGGGAGGTGTGTAAGCAATTACATATCCTAAGATATTCACCTCCTGAATATCAACACGTCTTTTTGCCTACAGTCAGGCACACTCTTCATAAGGCGCTGAAGAATTCCATAGTGCTGTCGATGGAAAGAAACCGTATTTGCGCACGGATCAGGCGGTCTCGGGAACTACGATGCATTACCGTGTCCGTGCACCAAATGCGCGCCATCACCAAATGCGCGGAAACCTGATATGCGCCACTTTTTCTCAACACCATAACACAACAACAATGACAGGTATCGAAGAAGCGCTTGCAGAGTGTGATTCTATACCCTCTGGCGACAAGATCCCTTGGCAAAAAATAGCTGACAAGCATGGTGTTGTTCGCTCAACGTTGACGCGCAGGCACCGCTGTGAAACGCGCTCTCGGCAAGAGGTGTCAACATCACAACAGAATCTACAACCACAACAGGAGGCAGAACTTGTGAAGTATATAGAGGAGCTAACAGAGCGAAAGCTACCTCCTACAAGAGAAATGGTGCAGAATTACGCGTCTGATATTGCTGGACACCTTGTCTCTGAAAGCTGGGTTGCTCGCTTCCTCCACCGACACCAAGATGAGCTTACATCCTAGTGGAGCACTTCTATGGACCGTAAACGCCACGCTGCTGATTCGGGTGATAAGTACAAGGTGTACTTTGAACACCTGGGCGGCAAGATCGACTTCTACGAAGTGGAGCCAGAGCACACATACAATATGGATGAGAAAGGCTTCCTGATTGGAGCCGTTGGTAGACAGAAGAGGATCTTTAGCAAGAGGCTGTTCAAGAAGAAACAGTTTAAGCAGATGCTACAGGATGGCAATCGCGAGTGGATAAGCTTGTTAGCGTGTGTTTGCGCCAATGGTACAGCGTTGCCGCCGGCTCTTATCTATGCGGCTGACTCCAACAACATACAATCAACCTGGGTGGAGGACGTGAAGGTAGGAGAACATATGGCCTTCTTCGGAGTATCAGGCAGTGGCTGGTCGAACGATAGTCTTGGTCTTGCCTGGCTTCAGCAGGTGTTTGAGCGCTTCACGGCACCGAAAGCTCGAAGAAAGTACCGCCTGTTGCTTGTGGATGGCCATGGGAGCCACCTAACAGAAGAGTTTCTTGAGTATTGCCACAGGCATAAGATACTGTTAGGTATCTATCCACCTCACAGCACCCACACGCTGCAGCCGCTCGATGTGGTGATGTTTAAGCCTCTCAGCACAGCATACTCAAAGAAGCTCGCAACACGCCTTCACAAGCATCAAGGCTTAGTGCCTGTAACTAAGGCTGACTTCTTTGGCCTGTTCTGGGACGCTTGGGTGAGCAGCTTTACTGCGAAGAACATCTTCAGCTCGTTCAAGGCAACAGGTGTACACCCCTTCAACCCCGACGTTATACTCGATCGCTTCACCAATGACGACTCAGACACCTCTAGCAACGCGTCAGAGGAAGCTCCTACATATGGCGGTGAGGCATGGCAGAAACTAAATACAGTTATAAAACGCGCGTTAGGTGGTGCCTCAGAAAAGGACGCATCTACTATTCAGCAATCGCTCCACCACATGGCTATACAGAACACCCTCCTGCAGAGCGAAAATGAGGGTTTGCTTGACGCTCTTACTGTCAAGAAAAGGAGAGAGATAAAGGGCAAGCCTCTTGACCTGCTGCAACACTATGAGTACTGGGGCCCTTCAATGATGTGGACTCCGCGGTCATTCAGAGAAGCCAAGGTGCGCATGAAGCAGGCACAAGAAGAGAAGGAAGCAGATGAGTTAGACAAGGCTAATATGAGAGAGTTGAAGAAGGCTAGTAAGCTATACAACGACAAGATTGCAGAAGAAAAGAAGGCGCAGCGTGCACGAGACCAAGAGGCACGGAGGAAGGCGAAGGCAGAGGAGCGCAAGGCAATCGATGCGCGCAAAGAGCAACGACGCAAGGACAAGGAGAAGAAAGACTGTGAAAAAGCTCTACAATTGTCCCAGAGAGGCAAGCGTAAGGCTTCACAAAGCACAGCACCAAACAAGAAGCCGAAAGTAGGTGTTGCTGCTGCGCGTAGTCGTGTTGTTGCTGCAGAGCCTCCTCAGCAGCTTCGCACCCACACTACCCGCAGCGGCAGAACAGCAACTCTATACAATTAATATGTATGAAAGGATATTGTCGCATAGGTCTATAGAGCACTCTATCAAAGATTCTCGTGAAAATAGCTATTGTGTGTAGCTCTACAGCCTCAAGCTTACAGGCGCAGTTTCCGCGGATTCGGCGCATTTGGTGACAGCGCGCATTTGGTGCACGGACACGGTAGCGCCACCCAGAACGCTAAACTGTGTTTCGCCACGTGACGCGCGCTTATCATCCGATTCTGCAGATCGCATTTTGTTGACCAGCTCGAACTACACCGTAGATGCCTACGCGCTCTACGCCCATCTTCTACGCCCAACACGCCGTCCATCTGATCCAGTAGACCTGGTATCTGCAACCTCTCGCTCAAGCTTCATCTCCATCGCCATTCACTGATGGCACGTTGCAACGTCCATCTGTTCGCACCGTTTGCTCCAAGATTGCGACGCGCCCGCAGCCGACCGCTTAATCTACGCATGCGATTAAGGGTCAGCACTCACGGTGGCACACAACAGTCGGAAGGTATACGGTGTTGTGAACGGCACAAGATGCACCTCCGGTGCAAAGAGGGACCTTGCGTCTTCCCATCACTCATACCCGTCGTCGCCGAGTGTTCTCTCTGTCCTTCACAGCCTGCCTCTCCTCGCATCCTATTGCCTCCGAGGGCCGTACTAGCACCCTTAGCTTTGTGATCATTCTATCTCGAATTAACCGAGTTAATCAAACGAAAGACGCCCGGATGCTATACCTGCAAATTCACTGTTCGTGCCACAAAGAATCACAAGCCGCGCGTATGCGGAAGGTATTGGCCATGCCTCTCGAGTATCTACACTTGCCGAGGCTGAAACGGCCTATCTACGTTAGACATTTGTGAAGGACGAGATATGGGAGACGTATATCCGCAGTGATTCGGTGTTGCGACACGGTCACAAGCAATACTCGAAATGATGAAATAGGACATGTAAGTCAAATATAGACTCACATGCAGACAGAGATCACATTTGACGTTTGCGTGAAGCCCTTTTCTTAGTCCGCACTGCAATTCTGGGCTTGGCTCATATGATAATCTCTTCGAAGGAACCTTGCAATTTCGATGCGTAGTTCCAAACTAATCTTAACTTCGAACATGAACACTCATTATCCCATCTTTCCATGCACAGCCCCTAAAGCTTCCAGATTATCAAAGAAGTAGGAGCAAGAACTATAAGCAAGTACGGGGATAGGTCCAACTCCCTATGATAACGCAGGTTATCATGCCGCAGACGGCTTCTCACGCTAAAACACGTTGTGTCCGACCCAGGAACCCCTCTTGTCAGGTACGACATGTTCCTCCAGCTTTATTGGTCTGCAATTCTCCAGTCCATACTCCTCATCCTCCTTCCCCCCAGGATTGAGTGTTGTGAAGCTGAATAGCCCGCTGCGCTTTCTCTTGTTATGATCCGAGAACCCCGAGCGATCGTACTGTGACTTGATCTTGGGACCATTGCTGGATGCGCGTGTTGACCAGCCGAAACGGTCGGACACCAGACGATATAATGGACGCAGGGTAGCAAGCGAACCGG